CCCAACCTTCCTTCCGAGGAGTGGCTGGTGGGTTTGAACCGCCAGCCTTCTGGTTAGCAGTCAAGTGCCTTAACCACTATGCTACCAGAGCTCCTGTATGTTAATACATGTTTTTTCTTCCTTGACTTCTTGTCCACCTCACCTCCTTTGTCTTTCATCATTGATGAGAAATCAGCTATCCATCTAACTTCCGTTGTAGATGATTTATCTTTTCCTTTTGACTGCTTTTTAAGATCTCTATTTCCTGTTTTACAGTTTTACTATGCTGTATCTAGGTGTAACTTTATTTTTATCTATCCTGTTTGGCATTCATAGGTCTTCTTGGATCTGGGAATTGGTAACTTTGATCAATTCTGTAAAATTCTTATCTATTATACTTCAAATATTCATTCTCGTCCATTTTCTGTATTATTTCCTTATGAAATTGTAATCACTAGTATGTTAGAATTTTTAGCCTGTTTCTCACATTGCTTGCATATTTTTCACAAATTTGTCCCTCTGGACTACATTCTGGATATCTTCAGATCTATTCTTTAGTTTCCTGATCCTCTCTTCAGCTGTGTCTATTCCACTGCTTAATCAGGCCACCAAGTTTTTAAGGATAATATTTTATTTCTTTGTTGAAAATGTGCTTGCTTGTTACTTAATCTTCAGTTACTTAGTGTCCTCTTCTTTCCTCACATTTTTAATATTTTATGTTTTTAAACACTGTTTTAAATTATCATGTTTTATTTTATATTTAATATTTTAGTACCTGAAGTTCTTGTCAATCTAATTCTGCCATCCATTACTGCTGAACCTAATATATGGTACCTTCTTTCCTTGGGAGCTTTTAAATTTATTACTGTGAGATGCATATTTTCTTTAGAATTTTATATCTGGGGATTCTGTGAAGCCTGGGTTAATGCCTCCAGAGAAGATGAAATTTACTTCTGTCATTTGTCTGGAGCCACTGCCAACCTGAAACTAATTTATATTCTCTGCAATTTTTTGTTTTGTTTTTACATTGCAACAGGAAACATGAGTTTGGCTTATGATCATGAACTTGGAGGAGAGAAAATTTCTCTTTTTACTGACCACCTAGTTTGACATGAGCTGTTTTCCTTAATGTCTTCATCTGAATGACATTTCATTTTATTTCCATTTAACCTTGCACTAAGAGTTTGGTTTTTGGTTTAGGCTTTTCATTTTCTTCTTCTCTCTTGCCTGTGCATCACTCTCTTGTAGTACAAGATGGTAGAGTACTTTGGTGCTTGGTTATGTCTCATGGGTTCTCTTTTTGGTTTTTGGTGGCTTTGGAATTGTGCCTTTTGTGCCACCTCAATAGTGTTTTGTCTTTAAATTGTAGTTGTTTTAAATTATAGTTACTTAAATAAGACATTTATCTGGGCTGCCATAACTGCCAGAAATGGAAATCCTATTCCTTTGAAAAAATTTACCTTTTGTGAGATTTTTTTATTATTTAAATTCAGTCATTTGGAAATGCCAGCAGTCATAATTTCTGATGTTTGTGTAATGTTGTAAAACATTGATAGTGTTTTTTAAAAAACTTTTAAAATACAATTTATCAGGATTACTATTCATTAGTAAAGAGAGCCAGCTTTCCAGAGTTATTAGACTGATTGAAATCAGAGGAATCCCTGAGGTTATCATCAAAGATACCATTTGAACTTGGAACTGAAGTCACTCCTTGTGGTCACCATTCATCTCAATAATAGATTGGCTTATAAAATAAATAATAACAACAACGAAAAACTCAAACTCACTGCCATAGAGTCGGATCCAACTCATAGCAACCCCTCCTTGGGTTTCCGAGGCAGTATCACTACGGAAGTAGATTGCCCAACCTTCCTTCCAAGGAGTGGCTGGTGGGTTTGAGCAGTCAGCCTTCTGTTAGCAGTCAAGTGCCTTAGGCACTACACTACCAGAGCTCCTTAAAATAAACAGTAGCACCCATAAATACCATGTTCCTGTAATCATCCATATAAGACCAAACGTTTAGGGCCAACATTTACCCTAAAACAATGATGAGAAGCTAAGAAGGGTAAGGAAGCTAGATTTGATTTAATGGAAACAGAGCACAAAGAATGGACATAATGAATAAGAATGTTGACACATTGTGAAAAATACAATCAATGTCATGGAACAAGGTACATAAAAATTGTTCAATGGGAACCTAATTTGGTATGTACACTTTCATCTAAAACACAATGTAATACTTTTTAAAAAATGGGCAGCTTTATCAATGCCTAATTCAGTTTTACATGATTTTCTAGAAATCTTGTAATAAAACTTCTGAAAGTAATGGTGTAATCTTAACTTATTCATGTATGTGCATCATTTGATGAGAAAGGTACAGAGCTGTTTAGATCTTAGAGAAAAATTGTCAAGAAATCTAACCTGCAATTATATTCTGTATGTGTTCTTACCTTCTTTGCTTTCTATTTCTGAAGAAACGTTGGATATAATAGAACATATCTAGAAAAATGACAAACGATAACATTTAATGAAGACTGTAAATTTGTAATTTATTTTTCTCCTTCTAACATTAACTTTCATATTTAGGTTTTAGGAGAAGTTTCAGTACAACTTCTGCTTCTTCTCAAAAAGAGATTAACAGAAGAAATGCTTTTGCCAAGTGAGTATTAAGAAGATTTAGAAAAACACCTCTCGGGATAAACGTGACTTGGGATTCTGTGAAGGAACAACAGAGGAATTTTGTATCTTTACATTGCTTGGTTGATTTTTAACACTAAGGAGAAAAAGTGTGATTGAATGTATTGAGAAGAGTACTTCCTCCCTCCTTTGCAAGCTCAATTAAAATGTCACAAATTACTAAAAATAGTATACTGCATGTAATTTATCTTTGAAGAAGTTCAAAAAAACCAAAGTCACTGCCATCGAGTCAATTCTGATTCATAGTGGACCCCATTGGGTTTCCAAGGAAGTAGATTGTCCCATCTCCTTCAGTGGAGTGGCTGGTGGGTTTGAGCCACCATCCTGCTGGTTAGCAGTCAAATACTTTAGGCACTGAGCCACCAGAGGTTTTGGTTAACCAAAACCAAAAACCAAACTCACTGCCATTGAGTCAATTCCAACTCATAGCAACCCCATTTGGGATTCCGAGGTGGTAAATCTTTGTGGAAGTAGATTGCCCAGTCTTCCTTCCACGGAGTGGCTGGTGGATTTGAACTGCCAACCTTCTGTTTAGCAATCAAATGCTTTAGGCACTGAGCCAGCTCCTTTTGAAGAAGTTAGTACTATTAATAAAAGTTGAGGTGCTTACATTGTGTATTACTGAATAGGATGGATTGATTTTAAGCTCTTGATTTTAAATTATTAGCGAGAAACTTGATTTAACATTGTTAGTCCTACCAATAATATGTAAATGTATAACATAATCTTATTATTTTAAAAAATGTTTCCACATCCTTTTCTAGAGTACACCCACTCCCTCCCTCACTTATTGAGTGAGCTCTGGTGGCTCAGTGCCTAAAGCATTTGACTACTAACCAGCAGGATGGTGGTTCAAACCCACCAGCCACTCCACTCCATTATTGATATTGTTAGGTTCCAAAGTCCAGGCCCTTATGTGAGTATTAGTGTTATGCAACAATGTAGGATGACCACATCACCTCACTCTGTTACCTGTATTGTGAATGTCCCACTGGGCTCTTACTGACATTACCTGGCACTACTGCCTTCCTCTCTCCCGACGTCACTTCAGGAGAGTTCAGCCCCCACAGCTGCCCCCAGGGGCGGGCCACCTAGTCTTCCAGAGCAAGGGTGGCCCAAGTGCTGCCCTCTTTCCCATCCCTGACATCCCCCCTTTCTCCTGCCCTCATTGTATTTTCATGATTGGCAACCCCAGCTTATCCCCTCAGTGATATCAAAATGCCTTTGGTAGCTTTGTCGAGGGCAAAGGGCTCCCTGTACACAGGAGAGGACCTGGGTGCTGCAGGGAATGTGCACACTGCTCACTGGGTCCCCTTGCTGGCCCCTTACCTATGCATCCCGTCTATGTCCCTTGAGAATTAATAATCCAGCACTTCCTCCAAGTCCCAGATGGCCAAGCTCAGCCTCTGCCCTTGACCTTAGGCTGCAGCTGCTGCTGGGCACTCATCCTCTGATACCATCCGCACCCAGATAGCCTGTCCCACTTTCACCTGTGCTTGGCCAGGAAGGGACATTGAGGCAGCATAAAGGGCTGCACAAGTGCCCAGTCACCTAACTACTCCATCTCAAGTCTCCTTCTGACTACAGCCTGGCCTGTCTCTACTGCCCCTAGAGGCTCAGAGCTGGGGCCAGTCACTGGGGTCCGTCTTCATCTCTGGTCCCAGGATGGCCCACTTATAGGACACTAGCTGCTGCTTCCCCGGCCTCAGTCCCCTGTGGGTATCCGGGACCTGTTAGGCAGCTTTCCAAACCTACTAACCCCACTCTAGCACCCCCTCTGCTCTGCCTAGCACCCCAGCTGCTCAGGAAGACCACACCCTTTCTCCCCTTCTAGGCTGTGGAATACTATGCAATGTGAGCTGCTTTTCTACATGCACATGAAGTCCATGGGTCAGGGGCCCCATTAGGGACCTCAGTGTTGGTTACTATTAGCCATGTGTCATTAATGCATAAAATAGTTAGGTAGTAGATGTTTTCACTATTGTCATAACTGTGAGGTGTTGGATAATGAGGTGATGAATAAGCGAGGAGTAGGTGTCTATTGCTCAGGAAGCTTTGTATCATTGCTGTTGAGAGAATGCCCTTCTTCCTTCTGTTTACTTGCTTTACTCCTCCTTTGGTTTTCTGAAACCAAAAGCTTTTTACTTTTAGAGAAATAAATATTAGATTATTTTAGACTGTTTGGGTCAAGGAGTTATTATTTTTTTTTAAAATCCTTCCAGTTAATCTGTGAATAATGCTGGGGGTTGGTGGGGGAAGGCCAGCAGAGCAGAGAAGTGTACTTGCTGACGATTGGGGCCCTGGAAGCCACTAGAAATTAGAGCCCAAGCCCTAGAACTTGCTGAGCAGCTGAGCAATAGGCAGGTTGTTTATACAGTAGCTCAGCACGAAGATACTGGGAGGCCTAACAAAGACCTGAAATTTAGTGCCTAAGGCATTTGACTGCTAACCAGAAGGCTGGCAGTTCAAACTCACCAGCCACTCCATGGAAGGAAGACTGGGCAATCTACTTCCATAGTGGTATCGCCTCAGAAACCTAAGGAGGGGTTGCTATCAGTTGGAATTGACTCAATGGCAATGAGTTGTTTTTTTTTTTTGGTTTTGGTCCTGTTTATTTGTTTGTTCATATGGAAATAAATGATACTTCCAGAAAAAAAAAATGGAAAGCATAGTCAGAGATGCTTAAAATTCCTGAGCAAGAAATTTGAAGGACTTAGGTCATTGGATATTCTTATCCCGTATGAACTCAAAAAACTCCCCACCATCTATTTCGACTCATAGCAACTTCTATTAGGTTTCCAAGATAGTAAATCTTTATGGAAATAGAACAGCTGGTGGGTTTGAACCACCAGCCTTCTAGTTAGCAGTCAAATGCCTTAGGAACTTGTATGATTGGGAGAAAACTGAGAACAGGGAAAGTAGGGGGTTACAATGTCACTTTTGTGGAAGGAGAGGATTTGTTTATCTATATCATGTGTTAAGATGGTGGTGACAAATGCATTTCATTCAGAGGAAAAAGTGATGGAAAAGGGGTTGGAAGCAATTCTTCTGTCTTCCGAGTTCTCTATATATCAAAAAAACAAAAGGCATAGAAAGACCTACATGCAGAACACCTACCCCAGAGTGATGCATCCATGTACTCTAGGGAGATGAACCCCTTAGGTCAGTCAGCCATGAGATACCAGAGGGGCAGCATTCACAGAGAGGGAAAGCTGGATAGACAGGAATGCATAGTTAAGAAGGGCACAGGGAGGAGAGGGGAGAGAGAGCTTTTTGGTTGGGGATGGTAATTGAGCCATGAAATCAAATGTGCATGAACTGTTGAATGTAAAACAAATTTACTTTGGAAATTTGCACCCAAAGCACACACACAAAAGAAGACAAACCTACTGCCTTCAAGTCCATTCCAACTCATAGTGACCCTATAGGACAGAGTAGAACTGTCCCATAGGGTTTCCAAGGCTTTAAATCTTTATGGAAGCAGGCTGCTCCATCTTTCTCACACCAGTCAGCTGTGGGTTCAAACCACCTACCTTTTGGTTAGTTGTTGTTTTGACAATCCATCTCATTGAGGGTCTTCCCTTTTTTTGTTGTCCCTCCACTTTGCCAAGCATGATATCCTTCTCCAGGAAATAATCCCTTCTTAACAACCTGACCAAAGTAGGTGAGATGAAGCCTGACTATTCTCTCTTCCAAGGAACAGTCCGGCTGCATTTGGTTATTAGCAAATGCATTAACCACTATGCCATTAGAGACAGAACACACACACACACACACACACACATTCTGTATATAATGCCAAGAACAGAAGTAACAAGAAAGTGAACTTGAGGTTTTAACATATGCATCACAGAGATAGATACCAGGCATCCTTTCTTACTTGGTCTACATCTAGTCTTTAATCAGTTTTTCACATCTCTGGCTACATCTCATCCTCATTGTTACTAATTTCCCTCAGGTCCTCTCTACATTTTCACAGTGAATGTCTGCTTAACTAAGTCTTTACTGGGTCTGATCTGTGAAATCCATCCTTTTGACATGATTTGCTTGGCCAGCTCAAATATGAATGTCTTTAGGTAGAGCTCACACAATCCAATATGCCCTGGGTTCCATCATTTTCCATCATATGTTTGTATTTTTCTGCCTGTCCTTTCAAGCTTCTGGATTCTCAGACATACAGGATGAGGTCCAGATTCATTGGCACAGTATGTAGAGTCCTGCAAAACTGACTCCTGTCTCTTTATCTTGCCTTGCCTTTCATGTCATAATTCTCACAAGTGATTAGCAGTTCTCTGTCTGTGGAAGAAAAAAAAAAGTTAAGCATATTTATATTTTTCTCCATCACTCGTCTGTCAGTTTGACATTCTGCAGTGGCTTGCATGGTGCTGTGAGGCTGGTGGCTATGCAACCAGTATTTCTAATACCAGCAGGGTCACCCATGCTGGACAGGTTTCAGCAGAGCTTCCAGACTAAGACTCAGAAGAAGGAAGGGGCCATCCACTGCTCAAAGAATTGGCCAGTGAAAACCATATGAATAACAGTGAAACACTATCTGATATATTACTGGAAAACTTTATGAATAGCCCTGAAACATTGTCCAGTATAGTGCCAGAAGATGAGCCCCTCAGGTTGAAAGGCACTCAAAAAGCAAGTGGGCAAGAGCTGCCTCCTCAAAGTGGACTCACTCTTAATGACAGGGATGGAGTAAAGCTTTTGGGACCTCCATTTGTTACAGGGCATGACTCAAATGTGAAGAAACAGCTGCAAACATCCATTAATAAAGAGAACTTGGAATGTACAAAGTATGAATGTAGGAAAGTTGGGAGTTGTCAAAATGAAATGAAACACATAAAGATTGATATCCTAGACATTAGTGAGCTGAAATGGACTGGTTTTAGCCATTTTGAATCAGACAATCTTGTGATCTATGCTGGGAATGACAAATTGAAAAGGAATGGTTTGGCATTCATCATCACAAAGAATGCATCAAGATCTATCCTAAGTACAATGCTGTCAGTGATAGGATAATATCCATATGCCTACAAAGAAGACAAGTTAATACTACTACTATTCAAATTTATGCACCAACTACTAAAGCCAAAGATGAGGAAATTGAAGATTTTTTACCAACTTCTCCAGTCTGAAATTGACCAAATATGCAATCAA